GCATAACAGTGTGTGACCCAAAAAAAGACCTGATTTGTGGCAGATGGAGAACTGGTTTTGCCACCACAACAATGCACCTGCTCACGCAGCCATCTCAGTGTTCCAGTTTTGGGCAAAAATCAGCCTGCCTCTCTCATCCCACTCACCTTACTCCCCTGACCACTCTCCTGCGACTTCTTTTTGTTTCTGCAAATTAAGAGGGACTTGAAAGCACAGCGATTTGATGATGGACAAGAGGTTAAAAAAATACTGGGGAGGTGCTGTCAGTCAATCAAACAGATGAGTTTGAAAAAATGTTTCCAACAATGGCATCACAGATTTGACGAATGTATTAAGTATAATGGAGAGTTCTTTGAAGGTGATAAGGTTGTTTTGTAAAAAAAATTTAAACACACAAAATTCCGGTTTGGGGGTTACCCGCTCATATGTATGTGTGTATGCTTTATGTGTGTGTGTATGCATGTGTGTATATGTATGTGTGCACATGCTTGGGTGTCCCCACGCAGGCTGCACCCTGGGGAAGATGTGTACGTCAGGGCTCGGGATCTGAACACCACTGATTCCTGTCTTCTAGTTGTCTGTGGTGTTTTGTGGTGGCTGTATTACGACTATACCAATGACCTCAGCACAGAGTTGGACACAGAGAGGGAAAACATGGAGTGCCTGCTGGGATTTGCTGTCGTATCCACAGTTATCACGGTAAGCACCAGCCCCCAACTGCAGCGCTCATGGCCAGCCAGAACTCTGGAGTCCAAATAACTGAATTCTGGCCAAACGCAACTAGAACTGGTTTTTCTTTCCCCTCAAAGTGTGCTGTATTTGAATTTGAGATACCTGCAAAGGGTTGGGCAGCTGACTGCAAGGTCAGAAGTTTGAGACCCCAGCGGCTCAGCAGGAGAAACACGGGGCTCTCTCCTACGGTAAAGAGTGACCGTCTCAGAACCCCCCAGGCCCAGGTCCACCCTGTCCTGTAGGGTCGCTCTGCGTCACCGTGGACGCAGTGTCCGTGAGTGAGGAGCCAGCTATCGAGGACTGTACATTGACTTTAAAGAAATATGGAGGAAAGGGGTCTTCCCCATCACGTCTGCCATCCCCAAGAGGCGAGTTTGTCGTCCTTGGTGTTGTGCCCTTTTCACCTCTAGGTGGCTGTAAGATGGACATCCGCCTGCAGGGGGAAGTCCAAGTTTAAAACAAGGCCCAGTACCTGTGTGTGAGGCCAGACATCTCCTTTCAGCCAAAGTGTGCTCAAGGGCCTGGGGTGGGGCCGCACCCAAAGCCACAGAGCACACAGAGCCCTTTGTTCCTAACCTGCCCGCCCACCGCAGGGCTAGTTCGGTCTTCCGAGAAGCTGAGCCCTGTGAACTCTAGCTGAAAGCAGAGAAGCTCAGCGCAGGAGGCCGCGATTCGGGTTGCGGGGAGAGGGTGCTTGGCAACTAACCATTCAGGTCATCCCCGGGTGAGTCACAAGTGCTGGACTCACTGGAAGCAGGAGAGGGTGAGGAATTGATTTCAGGGGCCTCCCCTACCCCACCCCCACGGTCCCCCTTGCTGGTGTGTTTTATGGGCCATCTATAGCAAGGGGGCATCCACAGCAAGCTCATGAAGTCTTTCAGCAAATGCAAATTCCCTCACTAACTTAATGTTCTTTGCCAAGGGAGTCCCTGGAGCCATGGTGGTGTAGTGCTCACACATTGGGCTGTTCACTGCAAGGTTTATGGTTCAAAACCTCCAGCTGCTCCAGGGGAGAAAGATGAGGCTTTCTACTCCTGTGAAAAGTTATGGCTGTGGAAGCACACATAGGGACTGATAGGGGCATGGTGACTCACTGGCAGCTGAGTTTTCTTGGTAAGGAAACCCCTCCATTCCCATATCCCAGGCTTTCTTCACATTTTCTCCCTTCAACGCAGAGGTTTGAATGTGGGCTCTACATGTAAACAGGAGGAGGCCCGTGTGCACAATGAAGGGCGAGCTTCCTGCAGGCCCCAGCTGAGCCGAGGCTGGAGCAGGAAGAGCGCTTCCTGCAGCCAGGCTGAGGGTGGGACTGCCATTCTCAGTAGGGGACTCGGTGTGGGGCTGAGGAGAGAGCCTGGTTCAGCCCAGAGCCCTTTAGGGGCTTCCTTTGTTTTCACACACCCACGGGGAGCGGGCACCCACATCCCTGGGCCTGGAGGCAGAAGTCTACTCTGAGCTGAGTGTAAGAAGCGTGGGAGAAGGGAAGGCAGTTAGAGGAGGGAGAGGGGCTGATATACTCACTTGTCTGCGAACAGAGTACGGGGATAGAGTCCAAGTATCACATGTGTAGCTGTCACTGAACCAAGTTCCTATCAAGTCCTGCTTGCTGGAGAGGTGACAAAAAGCCAACTCAAGGCGGCCAAGTTGAGGTTGGCAAAGCAGACCAGCCGTGTTGAATTGCCCCTCTGGTTTTCCAAGACTGTACGGGAGGAGAAAGCCTCATCTTTCTCCTATGTAGTGACTGGTGGTTTCGAACACTGACCTTGTGGTTAGCAACCCAAAGCGTAACTCCCTCCTCCAGCAGGACACCTGCTGGATGGCATAGCCTTATTCTCATAAAGCCTTAGCTGTTCCATTGTCATCGCTGTTTCGGACACCGAGTGTATGAGGAGAGGAGCCCTGGCGGCGTAGAGGTAAACATTGCGCAGTTAACTGCATGGTCTGCAGTTTGAAACCAGCAGCAGCTCCACGCCCCACAGGGTCACTATCAGTTGGAATCGGCTTCACGGCATTTTTATTATAGGCAGGGGACTACTGGTGGCACTGTTACGTAAGTGGTGGGCTGCTAACCCCCTAACCACAAGATCTGTGGATCCAGCCTACCTGCCACTCCTTGGGAGCAGGAAGATGCTGTCAGCTCCAACTATTTACAGTGATTTATAAACCCTACATAAGGCTCGTTGGGAGTCAGAGTCCACTCAATGTCACTGGGTTTGATTTAGTTGGGTGTGTGTGTGTGTGTTTCATTTTCCAAAAGTATTTCTGGATGCTAGTGGGCTAAAACGAGCCTGGTGCTGCAGTAGCTAAGGGCCCAGCTGCTAACTGAAAGGTCAGCAGTTTGAACTCACTAGATGCTCCATAGGAGAGAGATGAGGTTGTGTACCTCATCTCAAAAGCCCCATAAACCCTACATAGGATCACAACGAGTCAACATCAACTCAAAATCAGGAGGGGTTTAGTATATACCGGAAAGACCCCTGTGGGTATTGCAGGTGAAGCACTGGAAAGTGGGTTCGAATCCACTAGCCACTCTGTATGGAGAAAGACGAGGCTTTCATGGAAGAAGCACACCAGCCTGCGTGATCACAAGGTGCCGAAGGGATCAGTTATCAGGCATCAAAGAACAAAAAATCATATAATTGTGTGCTCACCTCCCTGATACGATCCTGAAGACAAATGGGTGCATAAGCAAATGTGGCAAAGAAAGCTGATG